AACAGGGGAATTCAAGAGAAAGGTTACCAACAAAACAGGAAAATTTTCTATTTCTATGCGTATAATCGGACACCCAACATGATGATTTTTTCTCGGATTCTATACTAAAACTGTGTACTGATGATTAGCAGTTTTCTGTAGAAAGATGTGATTTCGTTTCAATTTTTCGCATTTGTATAAAAAAAAATGGGAGATGAAAGGTGATGAGATTCTTCATACCGTTTATTATGACCAAAATAGTAAGAAAAAAGAAAACCATGGGCCTGGTTTGAATTCCAGTGGGCTGTTGACAAGGGTGGATTTTTGTCTCTCTCTATTTTTTATTTTTAATATTTTCATTTTGTATTTATTTGGGTTTAGTTCTTTTCCAAGTTGACCTTTTAAGATTTTTCCCACCAAAATTTAATGGGAAATGAAACATTACTCAGATAAAATATAATTCGTATTGTTGTGATCATCGGAGGTTGGTTAATAATTTAAGATTGATTAATATATTTGGCCAATGAAATCCTATATATTCAATATATTTGGTATACAATTTTAAATGAGTTTCATTTTTTCAAAATAAAGAAAAAAAAAATATAAAAAGCCTCCAAATATGAGCCATCTGAAAATAGATGATTGACTATTTTTTGTAAAATATATTTTTTGTATGCTTTACTCTTGATTATATTTAGTATTAATTTTACACAATTGATTTATAACATAGCATTAGTTGTTTATTTGTAATTTTTAATTCATAATAAAATAATTTTAATATTTATAAATTAAAAACGTAGAAAATTGTGCGGTTTTAGATCAACCATTGTGGTCAAATTAATAGTAATTATTTGTCCTAATAAAATTGTTATATAGGCCTATATTGTGAATAAGTGTACCTAATAAAATATAATTCTATTATTGATTTTATACTTGAAATTTACCATCTGGTACTAATTATTTATCAAACAATTATATTATGAACTAATAAAATTAATTAATATAATACATTTTAAACCAATATAAGTAGCTATCAATGAAAAAGAGCTATTATTTTCTTATTCACCACACTTGTCTTGGAGTATAATAGATTTCACTATTCATTTTCACAAGTCACAAACTTTAGTATATTTTCAACAATTATTTATAAAACAAGTGGCTAACTTTTTGTTTCCATAAATAAAAAATTGATAACTTTATCATATTTTCCGCTATTATCAGTTTTACTAAAGACAATTAGTGCTATAATTAAAAATAGTGAAAGTTTGAGCCTGTTGTTTTATGTTCCAACGTTAGATAAAAATTATAATTAGTTAATAGCATGACGTCATCTGTTACTTAATCAATTCTTCGATGAACATATAAAATTATATCCCCAGATGACTATATTAGCATTTACTGCCCCTCTTTTTATCCACCGTATTAATTAGTTTGACAAGCATTAAAACATAAAAATTGTTACTTTTATATTTTTGAAAGTTAGTTCAAAGTTTTAAATTATTTCTCACCAACCCAAACGTCAATAAAATTACTCAATCGTTATTCACCGCCCCCTATTACTACTCACCGTCCCCTTGGACAATTTTGCCCCTTACATTTTTTTCAAAAAGTAAAAAAAGAAAAAAACCCGTCCGGCCGGCGAAACCGGACGGCTTTTAGCCCGTCCGGCCGGCGGAACCGGACGGCTTTTAACCCGTCCGGTCGGCTGGTTCGGACGGGCTAAAAGCCGTCCGATTTCGCCGGCCGGACACAAAAATTTTCGTACCTCGAAATTTGATGACATTTCACCATACACTTTGCTCTGAGATGTTTAGAAAAAATGAAAAGGGCAAAATCGTCCAAGGGGGGCGGTGACTAGTAAGGGGGAGGGGGGCGGTAAATAGTACCACCCCTNAGATATATATATATATAGTTAAAGAATATATTAAAAAATATATATGTAATTTGTTAGCAAAAAAATATTTACTAATTATTATTTTATATTTTTGATTCGGGGTGTTAGTAGACCCTAAATCAATACATAATTTTTCGATTGTAGAGACAGGCTCGTTCGTGTTACAGAGCAATCGAAAATCGCATCAATGGTATTTTTTTTTTCATTTTTAAGTTGAATGGTTTTTTTTGTTTTGCTAAACTTTAGTTGAATGAATTTTTTTTTATTCTAATGTCCAATTTATAACAAATTATTTTGAATATATAACATAATAATTTATAATAATATTATTTTATATATATATATATTAAAAAAAAAGCATGTGCCGTCGGGGCCGGACGCCATTTGGGCCCGTCCGGTTTCGGCGGCCGGACAATTTTTATTTTTATTTTTTATTTTTTTTTATACTTTTTGAAAAAAAATACACTCTCTAAATGTTGCAATACATAAATAAAATATTGGCCAATAAAATTACATTCAACTTGTTATTTTTTTATTTTCCAACAAATAATAGAAAAGTTCAAAGGAGCTGGACCCAATTGAATATTGAGGCAAGTGGTGAAGTGGCCACCATTATCAAAGATAATATTCTCTCTATATATTAATTGAGAGCGTGTTTAGTCTATATGACAGACTTGCATGCTTTGAGATCTTATGTGGCAAAAATATATGGTTCATTATTAGGCTTTGTGTAGATTTAATTTACTTATAATCCAAATATATTTAGGTTCGGATTATCTATAATATGTTGATTATTTATGGTAAGGGTGGGCGCGGGTCGGGATGGTCCTGGATTTGACTTGTCAATAAACGGTTCGAGATGAGGTACCGTCCCCACCCATGTAATATATGGGTGGTATACTAGTTTTATGTTAATTAATAAAAAAATACAAGTAATTTAAAATAGAATTTGGAGCCGAAAAATATTGGACTTCAAGTTGGAGATGGAGTTGTCTATTGAAATTCTTGATTCATTAAATGAGTACCTCGTAAGCTCGTCTCGTTTGATAAACGAACTGAACTAAAACTCATTTAAATCTCGTTTGGTCAGTAGATCAAGTTCGACGGAGCTCGATAAAACTTGATAAGATAGTAATAGCTAGATAATATTTTTATAAAAGTATTTTTAAATAGGAAGTTCATGATTTTTTTTATCAAACAAATGCTTAAAAGCGAATTTTGTATTTATTGACAAATTGCAAAACGATTAAACCATGCACCTAGATAGCCGGAAACGACGTCGTCGACGTCAACTTTCCCCAATCGGAAACCCTTTCTCTCGCTCGTTCGCCGGCGCACACTGATTCAGAAACTTCTCACCCAACCCATAAGCGCGTGCTTGTTGCTCAATCATTCGTGTTCCTTCTCAATCTCTGACATACAGTTTAAAAGAAGCCAGCTGAAGTGAAATCAATACCAGATGGCCGAACCATCCTCGCCGGGTCGGAGCTCCACGGCGATTACGGATCTCGACATGGACGCCCTCACGCGATGCGCCGGTTACCTCAGCCTCCAAGACGTCTCCAGCTTGGCCATGTCGTGCAAATACCTCAATCGAGCTGCGTACTCCGATTCTATATGGAGATCGTTATACAGGTCAGTAATTACTTTGCGGTGTTGCTGTTGTGTGGGATTCATGTTTTCCCCTCTTTCCCAACTTTGAGAATTTGTGGGTTATGAAGAAAGTTGGATTGCACTTTGAGTTGATTGGGAATATATTTGCTTTGTGTTTGTATTAAATTTTCTGTCATTCTGTTTATTTCAATGTCATATGGGGATGAAAATTTTCTTGTTTGCTATACGTTGTGTGTGTGATCTAATGTTTAGTCTGCCTCCCATTGGACTTACAGTCAGGAATGGCCCCGAGTACCTCTAGACCTTAAAGCATCCAGTGTCAGGGAAGCTTATCTGTCAAGGCACATTTCTTTACGGCAGTTTAAATATGTCGATCCTTTGGTTCGCGATATTTACACAGCTGGAGAATCTCTGGATCACATGCTGTTAGACAGGAACACCATTATATTCTCGCAGGTAATGTGTTTTACTCCGAATTGTTGGAAAATCGATCCAGAAAAGAAAGTGGTGAAAAGTTTTGCATTATACATCACATCTATGTGAAGTTACCATCAATAACTTATGGTGTAAATTAAGCTCACTAAGCTTAGCTCATTGAACCTTTGACAATTGGGCATCATCTTCCTTGATATTATTTTAATCCTCCAAAAATGCCTGTTCCTGGTTCGGGGGCTTTTCCTGAAATTTGGTTGATTTGGTATAAATTATAATCCTGCCAATAATGTGTTTTACAAAGTAATGGCTCAAAGATTTGTATTATAGTTTTTATCAACGTATGTGTATCATTGATCACATTTTCAGGGTCAGTATATAAAATCTTTGAACACTGAAAATCTCGTCAATGGAAGAATCTCAGTTGCCACTCGAGGAAATCACAACTCTAGGATTACATGCATGAGGTTCGCCATTTCTTTTTATCTCTTTCCTACAGTATGTTTGATTTTAGAATTTGTGATTCCTGTTTCTTCCTTTAATTATCTAAAGCCGCAATACTGTTTGTACAATTTAAAATTGACCTATGAATCAAACGAGAGATCTCCAAAATAGATTTAAATTTTATAGACAAGTAACATGTCCGAAGCTCTTTGTGGAAGGGCGCGCTAGTATTGTTCTTATTTGCATTACACATTTTTATGTGACTGTTGAATAAAATTATGTGATCATTAGACTTTTTTCACCGAGTGAAGCGTGCTTATATCAGAGTGGGTCTGAGGGAGATGATAATGTTCTTATAACTTCAAGCACTGACCGTTTTATTCGGCTATGGTTCAAGGTATTTTTGCTAATTCTCAACTTCAGATACAAAACAATTTAGTGGTTATACTCATAATTTACTTAGGTCGTGCTTGTTTATAAAAAAAACTAGAAAAAAACTGATTTTTTTTTTTTATTTTTTTGTGTTAACTAGAGTTTATTTGGAAAAAGTTAGTATGGTAGTGGGATTTTAAGAATGTATTAAAATAATATTTAAAATAAAATAATTAAAATAAATTAGATGTAAAAGTAGGAAATAAATGATTGGATATAATAGGTAGTTAAAATTATGTGAGTTGATTAATAGTGAATTAAAGTTTATGTGATGTGTAAGAATGATATTATTTAATTATATTGATAATATTAAGGATAGTGGAGTTGAGTTAAAGTTGAGTTAGATTTTGAATTGAGATCATTTTTTATTTTTATTTTTTATTTATTTATTTATTTATTTTTTCTTTCTAGAAATTTGATAAACAAGCACGGCCTTAATCTCTCTCAATCACAATTTATGCACCCCTTATTATTCATGCGTAAAAATTCTTTGTTAATGAATTGGATCGTTGAGGTGCACTTGTCAATACTCTTTAAGTCCTTGAGTGACTGTTTTTGTAGGGAGTAAACCGATGCTTCAAAGGTCATACTGGACCAGTGCTTACACTCTCTGATAAACTACTCGGTGATAATTCTGGAAAAATATTTGCTAGTGGAGGTGAAGATTGTACAGTTCGCCTTTGGTCGATCAACTCCTCTGGAAAGCGGGGCCAGCAAGCATTGAAGGTCACACTTTTTGGACATGAAAAAGCTGTATCATTTATGTCAGTTGCTGGGTATGGTTCTTTGTGCTCCCATGCAGACCAAACTTTTTTTCTCGTCTTAATATATGTTAACTTATCTTAACTTATCTGACCAATATTTTAAGTGTGTGAAGAAGAGGAGTATTTCTTCAAATCGCACTGTGTTCTTGCATATATTTATTTATTAGCTGTGCTCAAACCTCACTTGAAATCATTTTCTTCTATTTTCTAACCAATCAAGTACTCGTAACAGAAAAATCTATTCATGCGTTTTAAGAATATTATAATGTGAGTGTGGCTTATAGGATGCTTTAACATATGAAGCTTGGGCATTATTTACTTCCTTATAGTTCGTGTTAAACGTTCTATGTTTAAATATCTTTTCGTGGCATCATATTCCTTTTTCTTTTTGGTATTGTGTGTGACTATTCTTCTTCAGGCTTTTATTTATTTATGTTTCCAAATAAATATTACCTATTGAATTTGCGCTTTCATCCAACTTTTCCCAGGCACAAAACATCTCTGCTGGTTAGCATTTCAAAGAATGGCAAGGTATTCTTCTATTTTTTTGGGTAAATTCTTATTTTGCAAGGTCCATGACGAATTTAGTTCATACTTTGTTTATAAATATTTTAAAAAATAATCCAATCACAACTCAAAATTTAACTCAACTCCACTATCCTCAATATTATGAATATAATTAAATAATATCAATTAATCATCCTTACACATCACATCAACTTTAATTCACTATTCGTCCACTCACATAATTTTAACTATCAATCACATTTCTCCTCCTGCTTTTACATTAAATTAACTTTAATCCCTTTTATTTTAAATATTATTTTAATACAAATCAAAATTCCAATCAAACCTAACCCAACCAACTTTCTTAAAAAATAACCCCGGTTAACCAAAAAAAAAAAATCAAAACTCAATAAATCTATATCCAAGCAATAGTTTCTTATTTTCTTGTATCGTGTTTTTTTTTTCCCCTGATAGGTTAAGGTCTGGGACACAACAACAGCATCATCTTCTACTCGTTCTTCATGTTGTGTGGGGTCCACCTCTTTACCCGGCATGCCAGTGGGTATGACATGCCATGAATCTCTGGTCTATGTTGCCACTGTGTCATCCATGCTAGCAGTCGATTTAAGAACAATGTCCAGAGCATTTATGGCAGTCCATGAAGGAAACATACATTCATTCGAGTTTTTGCCTTCGAAATCTTTGATTTGCACCGGTGGAGCTGGCAGGTAACTAGCATACTTATCGATGAAAAATTGCATGTTGTGCTTGATTTTATCCTTTTTATTAAAAAAAAAACTCACTTTAGTTACAGCTGCTGATTACGCGTGGAGGTCTAAGATTAAGCATGTCGTTATATTATGTGGATGAATGGAGCTCATTGTGTCTTTATTTATTTATTTTTCTTTTTTATAATTCTTGTTGATCCTTAAATCGGATTACAATTTTAGCTCGGTTTATGATAACATTTTGGTGGGATCTATAATACATAGGAACCTAAAATCATAAAACCGAGCTAAAATTGTAATCCGATTTTTTTTTTTTTTTTAAAAAAAATGATACTCCCACATTTACTTTTAATTGTCGTTTTATGTTTGAAATTTTATTGTTAATTATTTATCGTTTTTGGACAAAACCTTCCAATTTACTTTTATCTGCACTAGATAAAAGTCAATCTATGTTGAATGTTTTGGTGAAAAAAGAATCAGTTACGTACGAAACGAGTCTTGGCATAGAAAGATGAGAACATCCTTTATCATCATGGTAGTCTTGGTGTGAAATATTCAATTATGGATCACATCTGAAAATACAAAGAGCGAAAACAAAAACCATCCAAAATCATTTTTCGAAACATAACCGAAAGTTGTCTTATCCAAACTCAAATGTGGTCTATTCATTTTTATTCTTCTTCGATATATATATGCACATTACATATACGCATTCTTTAGATTTAGAAGTTCATTAATGTGTTCTCATTTTACCTTTAGTAAGAGATGCACTATTTTTTCTCTTATATAAAATTATCTGCAAAACCTTCGGCAGAGCCTTGCTGTGGGATATCAGGAGATTTTCCGAACCAACCGTTGAGCTGAGTAAACACGAAGGGCCCGTTAAACTTTTACACTTGGATCATCACAAAATCGTAACTGGTGGGCCGTATGATTCCTATATAAAAGTTTGGGAGACCGATACAGGCCAACATTTGAATTCATTGATCTCTTCTGGTGAAGATGGAAAACAAAATTACACGGGATGCTCCACAATGGCAGTTGACAGGTGTCGGATTGTGACTGGTGGTGGTGTAGCATACGAGGGAAACTCTCTGTTGCGCTTCAGGGACTTCAGGACTGCCACCTGGCGCGTGCCGTCTGGCCCGTACGAACCGGACCCAAGTGTTTCCAAGTTCTGGGGTTCTCTTTCGGATATCGATAGTGATTCAGAAGAATCTGTTGGTTTTCTGTAGAGGGACTGTTGATTGCAAGGAAATGATAATAGTTCTTATGGTTTTTTTTATTGAAGTGTTTTTGGGAAAAAAGAAATTAACAGGTTTTAGAAAAATTAGTAGTGTAGTCCGTCACATATCAAGATTTTCTAATTTTAATTTTTAGTTTGCGATTAAATATCAATCTTTTTTTTTTTAATTTATTTTCGTACATTTCGTCAGAGATTTTTTCCCTCAACTAATATTGGACACATAAAATTTATAGTTTATACTCCACTTATCAGAAAATGTGAGTTGGGCCGAGACCAGGCCAAATCATGCAGTCCAATGGGCCTTCCCATGCCCGATTCGACCCAGCCAATATCATTGACCGATCATCGATTCCCCTTTCCCTTCTTTCCATCCTCACTTCAGTTCATCTCCGATCAGCTCCAACTCCCCACCTCAGATCCCCAAAACCCCACCGCAATCCGCCGCCGTAAAATGTCCCCTCCCGCCGCCTTCCTCCTCCTCTTCCATCTCTTCCTCCTCGTCCCCGACGCCTCCTCCGCCGCGCCGATCATCGGCCTCGACTCCTTCCTCACCCAGCAGTTCCGCCGGGACCCCCACGCGGCCAACGACTCCTTCCCCTCCCTCNCTCTCCGCCGTCCCCTACTCCATCACCGACCAGATTATCCGGAATGAATTCGAGAAGGAGAAGCCCGTCGGCTCTTTCCACATCTTCATCATCCATCTCGGGTCTCAGTCAAAACCCTATGCTTACAGCTACACCCCTGGGGATAGCTCCCCTGGCCACACCAAGTGCTTGGGCAGTATCTGGGCCGGGAAAGACCGATACCTGTGGATTGATCTGGGAGCTGGGCCTGTTGATTATGGCCCCGCCTTGTCCGGCGATGGGGTCCTGCCAAAGGGCGAGTTCCATCCATTAGCAGCACTCCACGGCCGGCCCAAATCCCAAAAGGCGCTGCTTTCAGATTTAGCTTCTCTAGTATGGAGTGCTTATCAGGTACTTCTTGTCCCATCTTTGAGGATCCCCGTGCCGTTTGAGAACAAATTGATTGTTGAGTTCGTTCATATTCACGGTGATGACGTTAGTAGTATGGGTTTGGACTGGAAGTCCATAGAGAGGACTTTCATGGATGAGGTTAATAACCATGACTTGTTATTAGGGGATCAAAGTTTGAGTTTCAAACAATATGATGTGAAATTATCCGAGTGTTCGATTTGCTCTTTCTCAATTGCTAGGGCAACCACCTCGTACACTTCTAGGTACTTGTTCGACAATTACACGTTGATTGTGAGCGAGTATTTGGATTCAAAACGTTTGCACCAGTCAATCGTGGAGTCTGTTGATGAGTTCAGAAGGGTGGGAAAGCTGCCCGAGGAGGAGTTTGGTAGAATACTTCCGGTTTACGTTTTCGATCTTGACGTCAACTCGATTTTGTTGCTCGACCGTTATCACCAGTCAGTGGCATTTAAGGATATGGTGATTGCAGTTAGGACAAAGAGCACTCAGACAGTGAGTGACTACAGTTGCAATGGACATCATGTGTTCACTCAGACAAGGGAACTCGAGAGGCCACTCGTGGGCTCGATTTTGCAGAGCATGTGGGGTGTCTCGCCTACTCACCTTGTGTGGAGCCCACGTCATAATCATTCTCTCGTGGACTACACGTGGAGTGTCGGGCAAACCCCCTTTGGCCCGTTTTCTGAGGTATCTTCTTTGTCGTTCGTTCAGAAAGATGCTGCAAAGAGAAATGTGCTTTTGACGTCTTTGAATTACAGCATCTCGAGTGGGGTTGATATTCTTGAATCGATCGCTTCGCATGGTGGGGAGAGAAAGCTTTTGAAACGCAACAGGCACAATGAGTTTTTGCAGAGGTGGAATTTGTTTAGGTACAAGCTGGAAAAATCGATCTCTGCCATGTCGCATTTTGATTACGAGATGGCTTTGTATTACCTTCGCTCGTCTGATCATGATTTATATGCTATTCACACGCTCGTTTATCAAGCGTCTCAAGAATTGGAGGCCGCGCTCGTCTGTTTTAAGGACCCACCTTTTCCGTGGTTGTCCTTTGTGTCGTCCGGAGTTATTTTCTTTGCTTTGCTTTATGCGTATGCGAAAAGAGACAAATTGTTTCAGAACAAGAGAAAACAGTTTTAGATATTTTGGAAAGTGTGTCAGGCTTCCTTCCCTCTACTGCGTTTGAGTCGATTCATCTGTATTTTCAAAGGGTGAGGTGATATAGATACACTTGCTCGGAATGTATACCATGTGACTTTTTTTCATTGATTTGCCTTTTGAGATTCCTATCCGGTTTTACGGCTCTTACAAATGTGGCTCTATATGTTGCTGTGATAATAAGCTGTTTTTTTCTCTTGGAAATGCCATGTGACTTCTTTTTTCATTGATTTGCCTTTGAGATTTCTATTCAGTTTTACGGCACTTACGGATTCGCCTTTAATTCTTGCTTTAAGCATCACTTTATCATGTCTATTAGTATGTTACATACATATGTCGATAGAATTTGCACAACTTGAACTGAAACAATGTGGAGTTCGAGAGGCATATACTGCTGAGAGTTCGAATATGCATTACTTTGATCTTCTCATCAGGTTCAAGACCGAGCAGGAGCACCTTTTCTGATATACCCACAGAAATAGATTAGGTACCATAATTTGTTTACATTTGTGAAATTTATTATCTACTTTTACTAGTTGTAATTAGAAGAACTAGTGT